AAGACACACCTGTGCAATAATCATGCTGTCTAATCAGCATCTTGATATGCCACGCCTGTGAGGTGGGATGGATTATCTCGGCAAAGGAGAAGTGCTCACTATCACAGACTTTTTCAGATTTGTGAACAATATTTGAGAGAAATGGTTATTTTGTGTATGTAGAAAATGTTTTAGATCTTTGAGTTCATCTCATGAAAAATGGGAGCAAAAACAAAAGTGTTGCGTTTATATTTTTGTTCAGTGTAGTTACCTCCCACCACTGCTTATTATCAGGTACGTGGTAGACCCCATGCGTTTATGTAGAACAGTGCCGCAGTTGGGAGCTAACTATGCTAAATGAATCCTATTGATTTCTAGGTGAGGCCTACGGAGGCCCTGAGCAGCCATCACTACCTCTGCTCCTGCACCAAAGAGCTGTGGGTCCTGCTCATGCACCTGCTGGAGTACAGGAACAAAGTGTTGCACACACAGGTAACGCAAATACACACATGTTCACAAAAACATCAAATAAGCTGTCCATGCTAACTGAATGTGTGTTCCTCTCTAGTCTTTCTGGAGCTACATGAACTCGTTGTTGAGGCCCCTGGTTTCTGGGAAGCCAGCAGCAGAGCAGTTCAGCGGGCTCCCCACGCACTGTAAGGACCCTCTGGGATTCACATGGTGGCTGCTCACTCATGTGGCCATGTTGGGGCAGTACAGTCGTAGCGGCACTTTCCAGCACAAGGTAAGACGATCACATTACACTGCACACATTGTCTTTTACCTCAAATGTAAGTTGGTGCATTTATTTTTAACCAGGGAGTGTAATTCAAAGACAAAATTATGGGCGGAAGTTGTAGTCATCTAAGAGAATTCTGCAGTTCTAAAATAAGTCTTGAGGATTCATTTGTCTTGACACTTAAATAAAGAATGGTGCTGAAATTAGACATCGTGAAGTGAGACTGATGATAGCTCACTTGTTTTATACTTAAATAGGTTAATGATAGAAGGCATGGTCTACTTCAGTGTTACATTTTATTTCAGGTGACTTGGGTTTTTTAGCATTTATTCCCATATATACACTAGGTTAAAAAAACACGTGTTAGTGGATAATGTTTTTAAATGTATCAACTTGTTGTATCTTCTCTTACAGAAACATCTGGGGGAAAATTGGACCTTTGTGGAAGAGTTGCTCAAGTCGTCCTGTAGCCCCAAGGTCAGCACTGTTTCTCTTCATACATGCATTTGAAACCCCATTGAGAAAATGTATGTTTAAGCGGTATGTGCCTGTGTGTAATAACAGGGAGGTGTAGCAGAGGAGCAGGTCAGGATGCATGTCCACTGCTGTCTCAGTGTCTGTCTGCTGTGGGACCCGAGCACCAGCGCTGTCTCCACCCTCTGGGACTACTACAGCAGGAATCTGGTGAGGACGCACTGACCGGTGTATAACAGACGATAACAGTCGAACACACTCAATATGTTGCATCATTTACTGTATGTAAACAAGTAACAGGTTATTTCTTTGATGTTATTATAGGTTGCATGTATGGCTTATCTGATGATAAGTGATAAGTCTGATCTTAATAGTTTTCTCCTGTATTTAGGAGTAACTTAAGTGTTTTTACCTAAATAATCTCTAAATGAACCTTAAACTGTTATAGATTTGTTAAACAAGTGGGGAAAAAGTTTGTGATATATATTTTTTTGTTTGCTATTCATTTAGGCTAGAAGATGCAGAGGTAAAGCACTTTCTGCTGTAAACACATGGTGCATATCTTGTATTAGCCAGTTATGTGAAATGAATATCATTTATATTTTTGGCTAAACATTTATTTTAATCGGATCTCATCTGCCTTAATCCTTTTGGGTAAATCGGTTAGTGGTGCACTTCTGCCTCTTGTGGTCAGAAAGAGTATTACAACAACAAACACAAATTGACGGTCAAAACGTATTCTTCTTTCTTTTATCCGACAAATATTAAGCTACTAAGATTCGTTATTTTGGCATATTTTCTTAATGTTTAAACACAGGAGACAGTAACATTTGGATCAGACATTAAAAAAAATTGATAACCAAATAGTTTTTTGTTCTCACTTGCTGACGTATAAGATTGCATCAAATTTGCAGATTTTTTGCTTGACACTATTATGTATTATGAAGTTATTACATAGACCTTTACACTTACGTTCTATATTATACTCTGTCCCTTCACCCCAGAGCGCTTCCTTCACTGTACCCTGGCTCGGCGTGTCTGGCATGGGCACCCTGTGCAAGACGTCCCTGGCTCTGTTCGAGCAGGCCCGCAGCTGCTGCTCCCCCGCTCCCCTCCACTCTCCAGGACACACCCAGCTCTACCGCTCAGCCAACTCCTTCCACCTCTTCCTCCGAGTGCTGGCCCTGTGCCTTGCCCAGGACCGGGCGGGGGGGGCCCCACAGAGACAGATCAAAGGAAGGTGAGCACGGAGAGAATGTTGCGAGGCTTTGTACTTCTTCACGTTCTCTTCCACCATGAAAAGTAGGTCTCAAGGCCAGGCAGTTGACTCCATATCCAGTGTGTATTATTGTGCAGGAAGAGAAGATAAAAAGATGAAAACATGGAACAGAAGCTGTGAGAAATGATTAATAATCAGGAGTAGGCTTTGTAGCATTCCCTTTCCCCTTGATCTTCTAATGTGTGATGTGTTAAGTGTGCTGTTTGGATTTGTGTGTGTGTATAGGTGCATGAATACACAAACAACATGTGTGTTTGCTCACCATCATGCATTTCAGTCTTGTTTGTGTGCGTGCCAGGTGCACCGCAGTCTCCCAGCGCCTCTTTGATATTTACTCAGGCCCCCCAGTGGAGCAGGTGTCTCAGGAGTCAACCACCTGCTCTTCAGCACAGACCAGAGCCAAGAAGCCTCCTAGGGATGCACACACACACACACACACACACACACACACACACACACACACACACACTGCACCTGCTCCCTAGAGCGGTGACTTGGTGGCGAGGAGTGTGTGAGGCCATTAGATGGAGGAAGAATTTTGCCTTTGTGAGGGGAAAGTAAGAAATAAGAAACCACCAGCTAACATCAGAACCGAGCGCTGGACCATCCTATATCCCGGGCCGGCTGAGTGCCAGAGAGGCAGCCGTAGATAAATCCGCCTAATGACTTCCCTCTGTCTGGAATGTGCTCAGTAGCACGGCAGACATGGGGGCTAATTAGCTAACGAGCGTGGCGGTTAATTCGCCTTAACGAAGCTGTGTTGGTTTCCAACACGGATAGAGAGAGGAGCGGGG